TAGACATCCCAGATTTGTAAGCAGGAGGTCAAACGTTCCACCCTCAAAGTTTATCACCAAAACAAGATAAACTAACCTGTCCTTTTCTTTTCAGAATTCAGGCATGAGTTGATTGGTTATGGTGTTGACAATAGCAACACCGCATGCCACATTTAAATCCCAACAAAGATCTGTCCCAAAAACTCAGTCCACAGTTATCATCATTATAACTCATTCGACATGATGACTGCAATCACAAAGGACTCCTGTAGATCTGAACAAAATGCAAGTAATTGGTTGTCGTCTTGAAAATAGAACTCATACGTTGATCCCTTCAAATAGACAGGGACTTTAATATTTCCCTAATATTGCCCACATCAACTTTGATAATATTGCCAGAGGGAACAAGAAATAGACTATCAATTACACATGATTTTCGATGACTGAAATACAAGAAACTAGAATTTCTTGAAACAACATCTAAATGCATGGCCAATGTGAACCAAGAAAACCAGACCCAAAACCTAAAACATAACCCAGCATCTCATTGCCTTAGACACATATACACCAGAGAATGGAACTTGAGGAGAAACACAACAACGTACATATATAACAACTATGTGGAGCAAGTTGTAGCTATTAATTGTCAAAAGAAATAAAAAATTCACCAATAACGCCCCTCTATGTGAAGTTCAATAGAGTGATGAAATCCATTAAAAAAAAACAGATCAATAGAGTGATGAAGAAAATATGTTCAATCAAAAATCCAAACAAACAATAACTCCTAGAGTTGAGAACCTACAAATTTACAACCTAAAGCCAACTGGATGTTTTGCATTTAGTCTAAAAAATGAATTCAGGTCAGATAAATAATACCCTAAGAAGTAAAGGATGATATGTTCTTCTTTTAAAAGTAGTAGTAATTAAATCATAATTCCTAGAAGTTCTTTTTTTACGAGTAACAAGTCCAGAATATTCTTAGTTGCCCATCACATAGTCCCATAAGGTTCCAAAGAGGTAGCTAGGATCCAGCCTTCGCAAGTAAAGGTCCAATTTGGTTCTTTCCAAACCAAATAGACAGATGAGAAAGCTCAACCACAACTATAATACCAGTGATCTTCTTACAATTTCATTTTTCCATTCTTTCAAGAACATTACCCGCCACTTAAATAGATTTTTGAAATTGAGAGCCATATCTGTTCATTCAATATGAACTGAATAAGACAATAGCAATCCTTGCCCCAGGAGCCAACTTAGTTAACATATTCCACCCAAGGTTTATAATAGAAATAAAAAGATCATGAATGAGTACATATGTCACATCCATTGTGAAACATGTCAATTCAACAGCCACAAGCAACAATAGCAATGGTAAAATGATTGCAGTTCCCATGAATAGAAGAATGTACACAGAAGAATACAAGTAAAAGATCCACATGACATCCTAATATCCTTTATAAAAAACACAACCAACTCCGAGAAAAGAAAACAACACATTCATCAGACAGGCTTTACAATATTAACCGAATCCAAAAACAAATAGAAAAAGAAGCATTTTACATCTTTAAAAAAGAACTCTCTCGAGTTCAATTTTCGAGCTCCTACCAAAAATACAAATCCAAATCCAAAACCTCTGCACCATCAGAACAAAACCAACAAAGAGAATAGCAGATACACCAAGCAACAAGCATAAGCCACCAATCCTCTATGCTCTTCCCCATAAGAAGCAATACCAATACGAAGCTTGGTACTAGTGTCCCCCGCACACTGCGCCTCTGAGAAATGCTCAACTCAATCCCCAACATGGTTCCCAATAACTGGACAAATCAGGATATGGATAGTCGGTAGTAGCTAGAGCGATATAGCAATTGACGAATGATAGAAATTCTTCAGCTGGAAAAACTGACCCAATCGTTACTATCCATTTTGATCGAGGCCAGGACTCGACTTCAACTGTTAAGGGGGCCCACCTCCCACTCCCCCTCCCTTGGTCAATCAAGGGCAGTGAGTTGATTGACCAAGGCCTCCCCTTACGACGATGGATTTTGTCCATTTAATACCTCAAACATAGAATACAGATGAGATCAAAAACGCCTGGGCAAACAATGCAATAGCTTCGGTTAGAGCAAAGCCCAAAAAGGCATAACCAAATGATTGTTTAGCCAATGATGGATTTCCCACATCACGAAGAAGGCCCCCAATCCATACATGACCAATGTCCCTTGTGGAATAAATAGAGATAAAATAACAATGGGGAGCATACCATATCCAACCAAGCTCAAGCAAGTGTACAACGTCAATGTCCCATTACTCCCAGCTATCATATTGAAGGTGACATAGATAAAGCAAGCTAACACCGAGATCCACCCCAATATGATACCAAAATGCAGCTTTCCTACAAGTAATTGGAACAATCCAAAGAGCAATAGATAGAGAAAGGGGCCAGACAAATCTCCATCATCAAAAAAACTAGGATTTGATTTAAAAGGGTTGAGAATCAATTGGGTTTTCCTATAAATTTGTCAAGTGTTTATACTGAGCTCTTCAAGGAGAGGCAGATCGTCTTCAAATGTAGGGTTTCCATAGATGGGAGCTGAGAAATAAGAGGAGGTGGAGGCGGAAGCAGAGCTCATGTCAAAAGACATGAAAGGAAGATTGGGGGATTAGGATTAAGGGGGTGAGACTGAAGTATGGTTTGGGGTTGGAAAGGAGCAGAAGGGGCTCTTCTTTGTTGAGGGCCAGGATTTGGGAAAATCACAGGCGGGACGTTGAATTCTATAGATGAATGCATTGAAGAGAGAGCGGAGAAACCGAGAACAAGAAAGAGAAGGGCCCGTAAAAAGAAAGGCCTGCAATAGGAGCAAGAGGTAGGGAGAGAAACCTGCAAAAAGAAAGAAAAGCAAACCCCGGACTTGAGATCTGAAAAACTTGGAGAACCCTAGAAAAGCAGTAACTTGTTTATTGAGCAGTTTAGACAGAGAGAGAAGTGAAATAAAGACTCTGTAGGATGAGAGAAAAAAATAAACGGGCAAAGCCCTATAGAGAGAAAGAGAGGGATATTAACAGAGGAATGAAGAAGCAAGGTTAAGCTTTGAAGCGGGTGCCTCACGGATGATGCCTCTGGTGCGAGGAAAGAGAGGGTGGGGGTTTCTTTCTTCCTATTGGAGGGAGAGAGAGAGGGGGAGGGGGAGAGGGAGGACGGATTTTTTTTGGGTATCAAAAATATGTGCAATTAAAGGGGCAGTAAGAAAAATAAGCCGATTTCGTTATGATTTGTCACTACTCGCAATCCACATGTCTGTTCAGTGATGAGCGGTTAAGGTGGCGTGGAAGCCTGCTACACTATATTAAATATACACATTATATGTGGGCCTAAGATTTTTTGAAATGCATATTTTTTACATGGACGCAGTCTTATCACAATAGTTCTGGTGTCAAAAAATTACGTGAAAAATATATCACACTCGTTAGATTCACATGCCATTTATTCCTAATGATTCAAAAGCATTCATCTACAATAATAAGCAATCAGCTCATGATATAGCACTACAAGCTATTGTAGAAGTAGTTTAAGAACAATCAATTATAACACAAGAATTTGAACTGAATTAGAGGAAGCCATCAGATTCACTTATAATAGAGATTATGAAATCTAAAAAATAAAAAGAGGTTATCTAAAGTGAGAGCGACCTAGACAAAGTGAACAATTTTGAATGCTTCCTTGCTCTCAGATGGAGGCCCCTCCGACTTGCTACCAAGGCATATCACACAAAAAGACTACTCAAATCTAAGATTTCTCTTTCCTATTAGGTGGAACATAGAGCCTTTACTGTTAGTATCGTGGACTTAGCACAAAGTCCTTGCTGTTAATACCTAATGCAAGTAAATCTCTATAGGTCAAGGCCTTCCCTAAGAAGACATAAGTTTAATAGAAATAATGATGTGGAAGAGGATCACGTGCAATGAGGAGTGAGAGAAGATAGGCAAAGAAAGGGGTGAAATGAGGAACAATAACTTATCGATGTTTAAATTCTCTCTCTAGGATTGGCTCTCTCCTCCAAGATACATTCTCTTTTGGTGCTAATTGTCTTTGGGCCTATAGCCTTTGGGCTCAGATGATCTATTTGTACTAAAGAAAGCTATCAAGGCGAGCCAGGAATCAACATAAGAGGTCTGAGAGGAAGGAGGCGTCCACGAGGAGTGAAAAAGTCAGTGACAAAAGGAAGAAGAGAGTATACAAATCTATGAGGAACTACACATGATCAGAATCCAGAGTGGTCACCTGACTTGTTGATGAAGGATGGTGCAAATCAGAACCCGGGTCAATGAGATCCAATATTGACTCAATAACCACTGGTGAGGTCGAGCAACATCAAATCAGAGCTTGGATCATAGAGAACCAAGATTGAGACCGATTCATAAGCCTTAGAAACAACACACAATAACAAGACAGGCTCATGGAACAGAAGGATATATTAGTGCACCTATGGTCCATCTATAAGAGCAGCAACATACCGAGTCAATGTCTGAGCAAAGACCACAGATATTTTCCATGTTTTCAACTGCAACATATTCACCCTGGGATAGTTTGAAAATGTTCTTTTTCCTGTCAATGATTTTCAAGCACCCATCCGGCTGCCATTCACCAATATCTGCTGTATGCAATATAACTTCCAATTGAATGAATTCTATGTTGAAACATGAAACACCTTTTTTTTCAGAAAATGACCATGACAACATTAATTTTGAAGTACTACAGACAAGATACCGGTTTCAAACATGTAAGGCATGTCAGTGGTCTAATAAAATTATAGAATTGCTCAGGTAAAAGACTAAAATAAACTTTTCTGTTGAAAATCAGACCTCTGTGAGGAGAGGGTGGTGGCAGGTGTCAGTTGTTCCAACGAAAAATATTGCTGGATTTTAAAAGGTTATTATGGTTGCTTCTGGATTTTACTAGCCAAATTTTCCACCAGTGATATCAAATAGTAAATTTGATATGAACACTCCCATGGACAAACCTGTGTGAAACCATCCATCAATCATAACCTCCCTAGTCAGATCTTTACGTTTGTAGTATCCAGAAAACAGGGTTTTCCCCCTTACACAAATTTCCCCACGAGGTGTGCTTGCAAGAGCATCATAATTCATTTCAGGAGCAGACACCAAGCACACGTCCACAGTCCAACTGTCCCAAGCACAGAGAGCTCATTTGGTAGGGAGATAAAAGTACCTGTACAAGTTTCAGTCATACCTGGAACAACAGTCAATTGCATTAGTGCTAGCTCCTAAAACTAAGATGGAAAACTTATTCCAGATAAAATCAGTTACAACGAGGCCTCCGGAAGAAATTATAATTGCATTGCATATTTTACAACAAAGGAAGAAATATTTTAAAAACGTGCAAACTAAAGTCAACCGCTAGTGGATGTCTCATTACACTGTCAGACTTTTATTATTAACCAATAGAAGCCATCAACTGTCTGAAGAAGTCGCAGTTGAAAAAACAAAAATCTGATGAGGTTGAAAAAAATCTCATTACACTGTACTTTGCTTGTGGTAAAGTATCTTCACACATGTGACATTGATCATATTTGGGCTAGAACTTTAAAGCCATTTACTCAACATTTGAGTACAAGTGTAAAGAAAATCATAAAAGTGTAATATTTTTTTTTTTTTAAAGTTTTTCTTTTGATAATTGAGTCAAATCTGATATTTGTATTGGAATATATTGAAATTTAGGTTTGCACATAATCAGGGCCCCGAATCTGTCAACAATTATGTAGATATGGATGATCTGGTAGTTATAGACCTCTACTAGTTTTAGGGAGAGCATGCACAATATTTGAAAGACAGCTTGTGATCTATATGCAAATGCTTTTGTTGTTTCAGACCCACCGATAGTTCTAATGGATTTTTATTCATTAGCACATAAATATTTTTAAATGCATGATCCAATATTGAGATTTATCAGATTAGTCCTGTTCTAATGTCCATTCAGGATAAGAATTTTGGGGATTTCTTTAATTTTTTTGCAAATTGTGTAGGCAGGTCAGGTTCTCTTGGTACTTCCATGCCATTTTTTGAGAATTCAGAATCAGCCCTTTTTAGTGCAATGGGCAACTAGAAGTTCTTTGAAATTCTTGATGTGCTCTATTTTCATATTGGCAGCTTTTTTCTGAAGCTATGAAATAAAATTTATGCCTAAAGCTCTATAAATCTTCATTGTTATCTCTCTCAATTCTCATCAATTTTTAAGATATTTTGTACTCATGCTTCATTATACCTCGTTTACCTTTAACTCAATAGGTGCTGTTTGAAGATCAAAATTGTTGCTTAAAAAAAAGCACAGAGACATATTCCTCTCATAACCCAGATTGGTGCTATATAGTTACTTCCAATGAAGAATCTCCCAAGGTTTCATCACTTCCACAAGCACTCAGTGTTTAGAATCTTTTTCACTCTGCACTCCCCTAACAGACACTAGCTACACATTTCTACTTCAACAAAAGCCAGTGCCCTCCTAGGGAAGAGGGCAGCTAGTTTGTTAGGGTGCCATATCATTAAGAACTCATTTGCAGTGTATATACGCTTACAAATATATCTAATATTTATCAAAGATTTGTGTCTAGCAAGTTTTCAATTATGCACAAGAGATACTTAGGGGTTTTGTGTTTACATTAATCAAGCCTAGAGCCCTGTTTAGTAAAAGGGATACATTCGTCCTAATGAAACGTCCACAGATGTTATTTAAGTGCACTATGATTCATCATAGGGTTTGTCACATGTTAGCGAGGTAACATCTACCCGAGCAGCCAATCACATCCATCTACCATATAGGATGGATTTCACACATTAGACAACTTAATATGTGGCCTTGCGTGGGATTCTTAGATTAGGAAGTGATTGTAAGATGCATGAGGATATATTTCCACTTGATCATTCCGCTTTGATATAAAACATAAAAGAAGCTTCAATAAATAAAATTTCTGCACATTGAGAAAGAGAAGTTGAGCACAGAACCTGGTTGGATTTAGAGTGGTTATTATTTTGCACGCATTACCGTGCCAATGAGATTGATCAATTTGAGAGTTTTTTCCTGCATGATGAGAGAACTATGTCCCAGTTTTTCTTTCCTTGGAAATCTTTCAAGTATGTTTGCACCCAATCCAATGTTAATACATGACACGATTTCTTAGAAGTACTTTCTCAGTCTTTGCCTTGGTATCATAATAATTTCAATGAAATTCATCTAACATTTGCAATGCAAGATACCATAAATATATTTTCCTTGTGATCCATTTAAGGCACCAGGTATAAGGAAACATGTTTATATTGGTCAAGCTCATAAGTATGCTTTAAGTCCTCTGATATTAAGAATTTGTCAGCTAAATTCTCTATATTAAATACTGATGGAAAGTTTAAATATGCCTTAGGTCCTTAGCTTCATTGGAATACACTTTATAGCAATATAATAGCATCTGCTGTTGCTATGGTAAAAGGAGAAGCCAGTATGACTCTACAATTACATCATTTCAGAAATTCAAGCAAAGATATCACAAATAGAAATCTCAAAGCGATAAATACCATAGCCTTGTAGAACATGAGCGCAAGTCACCACTCGTAGAAAAGCTTCCACATGGGAGGCAAGGGGAGCTGCTCCATATAGAATTAGTTGTACACGCCCTCCTAATCCTTGTTTCACCTGTAAACAATATAATAATCAAGACAGAGAAAGTATAAATTATCCCAAAAACAAGTAACAAGCATAATAAGAGTAATTTGATACGGCCATCACACCACCTTGTTGAAAACTATCTTATCAAAAATTGGCGCTGCCTGATCATGATTGTATCCCTTCTTCATGTAATTAAGTTTGCTCTGATTATTCATTGTAAACATCAGAAAATATGATTATAAGAAGAATGGCAGTAACAGAACCTCTAGACATTGCATGCATAATGTACATGCCAAGCTTTCTGAGGCAACACAAGAAAGCAAATCAATTGTGGCAGAAACATCAAAAGCAAGACATGACACTAAGATATGTGTTTGCAACAGAAAGAAAAAATTACGACCATGAGAGTTTCCTTATCAGAAAAGGTTTATATCTAAACCCATAAAAGATCAAGGGAAAAGAGTCACTGAGAAAAGAACTCCAATATAAAGGAACATTTAACAGATGCCAACAAGAAAATTATGACGAGAAGGAAAAGCTCTCAGTAAGAAAAGAATCACTAAGAAAAAATCCCCAACATAAAGGAACTTTCAACAGATACCAACAAGAAAATCATGACGAGAAGGAAAAACCCTAATGCTGAGCAATATGGTACTCATACTTTCCTGACATATCATTCTCTAAAGCAAAGCTGATTAAATTACAAGCTCAAAAATAATATCTTCAGTGGAGAACTTATCAAAAGAAATAAGAAATTTTCAGTTGAGATCTTACTATGCATGTGCAACATCAAACAATGTCTTCTTGAATCTACCCCCGGCAGAAATCTTCTGATTCAAACCTGAAATCCATGCAGAATATCCATATCCCAAAGCCCTGAATATTGCATTATACATATAAAACAGATCTCCAAGCCACAACTGTCCTCTGAAACATGATGTTTTCAACTGAATAAAGTCTGCCTATATATCATCATCACAATAATTAGAATTTGCCTATGCTCTTTTTTTTCCCCAGATGTTTAACTACTTTCGTTTAATTAAAAAATGTGTTTACAAGTATAATGTTCGTAAACAATGAATTCTATGCATACGAGACTCCGCTGAAAAAAAAAAAGTAATTTAGACACAAAAGGACTCTATGATATATGAACTTGACGCCTTAATTCATCACTACATACTCAGCCAAAATATGCTACCAAACGTGAAGTTTTTCATTTGATGGACTCAAAATTTCATAAGCAAATGACCTTTAAGGACTACTATATAATATCCCCATATATTTGTGAATGTGGATGTTTTATCATGTAGACCCAATATTCTTGTGAAGATCTCTCTCTCTCTTGCTAACTAATATTAGGTCGTACTCTCTCTCTCTTGTGAATATCATTATATAGTTTCAAATTGTGACAAACATCAATGCATGGCTAATCATCATCTACAGATCTATCACACTTGTTACATTCACGTGCCATATATTCCTAATGATTCAAAAGCACTCAACTACAATAATAAGCAATCAGCTCACGATATAACACTACAAGCTATTGTAGAAGTAGTTTAAGAACAATCAATCATAACTCAAGAATTTGAACTGAATTAGAGGAAGCCATCAGATTCACTTATAATAGAGAATGAAATCTAAAAAACAAAAAGAGGTTATCTTAAGTGAGAGCGACCTACACAAAGTCAACAATTTTGAATGCTTCCTTGCTCTCAGATGGAGACCCCTCCGACTTGCTACCAAGGCATATCTGAAAGAAAGACCTATGTGATTTCCTTTACCGGGAAATACATTTTAACTTTTTTTTTTCACCTCTTTCTTTTGGCAAAATATCACTTACAAATGGTCTTTATTATAATAAGATAAATTTCAAAATAAAATTAGAATGACAATAAAACCAAGATCTTAACAACTTGATGTCATTGCAACAACTATGCATTATGCTTGAGAATAAAAGATAAGATTGCAAGAAACAAAAGGAAGAGTGCCGAAAATTACCTCAACCGTGCTTATTACACCCCACACCGAGTTACCACTATCCGATGGCGCGGGATCAACGGTCTAGCTTCAATCTCGAACCGGGAAAGCAAATTTTGGCTAAGCCATACAAATGGAACATAAACTCCTTTGATCACAAACTCAAACCCTAAGTGAATTATCTTAGCAACTTAGTTTGAGAGAGATGGATTATCTTTTTACTAAACCCTAAAATCCTTAGCCATAAATCCATATTTGAGAGATAGAAGAGAAAAACTCCATAACCTAAACCATTAGGTTCTTTCACAATGTGAGAGAGAGAGACCAAACATGAAAGAGACAAACTTTCTTAAGAGAGACAGATAGAAAGATGAGGTGTAGAGATTTTTTGGTAGAGACAATCCCTTTTTATAGGCTTTAAATAAGATTAAGGTTTCTTAGGGTTTTCTTTGGCTTGCCTCTTCTTATGATATTGAACATAGACTGTCGATCAAGGGTGACTTGTGGGGTGAAAGATCTGAGCGATCCGTTCCATAAATGGGTCGTCAACATTATGGAAGGTACACGAACCCTTTCCTAAACCATTTTCTCATCAATATAAATTAAATAAATGAAATTTAATCAAAATATTGTGCATACCATAAAATAGTACAAGTCTACTCAATCTTTCCACAAAATCTTTCAAAGATATATCAAGTCAATATTTAATCAATATCTTCCAAACATATGGCCACATGCCATATCACCAAAAAAATAGGAAAGAGAATAAGGGTGGGGTGTGCCACCCAAGGGAGGCATTCATGGGCCCCACCTTCTAAAGATATGGTGAGCCCATGTGCACAATGGGCTCCCATGATATTTTTATATATTTAAAATTAATAAAAGGATTTTAGAATATTATTTGAATATTTATATCATTGTAATATCAATATCTTTAATTTTATAAATCCAAAAATTATAAATAAACTATCCAGGGGTTCATAAAAATTCAAATAATAATCTTAAAATAATTTTCATCATAAAACAAACACAATTAAATTAATTTGATGGGAAAATGATCTATATGGTTTAGAAATCAACATTCATAGAGCACTCCACCTTCAACTGTGGACTATAGATCACACTTGCTTTATCAAACCGACTCAGTATTTTTCATGACCCACAGTCCAAGTAGGGACTCATTAGCGGGTCACTAAAGTCCAGCCGATGAGCCAAGGGATCGCAATCTCAGTATGTGGATTTCAGGTCCTCCCCTAGAGATAAGTCAAGGTCACCAAGACTTTATGCGACTACAGCTCTATGGCGCATAGGGGTATCTCTCGTACATGCATACGCTTCACCCTAAAAGGTGGATTTCTGGCTTTTCCAAATGATCTATCGATATGCATGTCATGTTATGGTACACGGATGAGGTTTTGGCCCCTATCTTTGTAGGCCACCATCACACACAAGGGTCACACAGTCCCTCGGCTCACTCATCCGAGAATGTTCTCCGACCTCATCAAGGGCTAACGCATAAACCCTCATCGGTTTGTTCTTCATACCCAGGTAACTTAGGTTTTTTCCAACCGACTGGCCTAGATCATTATACACAGAACGGTATCAGCAAACCATCGTTTGCTTAGTATGGTCCACGAGGGACCACACTTCCATTGAGTTCATGTTCCACTATATCATTTCATGTTATAAGCACTCATAAAGCCTTTAAAGGTCACATAAACCCAACATCTCTTATTTGGCCTTTGAATGCCTTACATTCTCTCTTTGTCATTTCTCTTATTCTCATCTCTCTCTCCCAATTACAATCTCTCTCAAGCGTTTTTATTTATTCTCTCAATACATTCATCATGGCTTTCGTCATCAATCCTTTCACAAAAGAATTTGTAGAGACAACACATTTTTCTTTTTGCTGCTCGAATCTCATCTCAAAAATGGTCGTAGCTCATCTTTTACATTGCATCGCGAATCATGGACCTGTTGTCACAAAAGACTATCACGTACCCTCATCGCATGGGTCGTATGTTCATGGGCTCAAAAGAATTCTTCAAATATTTAGTTTATCTAGATCTCGATCTTTTTCAATCTCACCTCATTCCTCAAGTGATAAAAACATGGTTTTACATGCTTGGAGTTCTTATGGAATCGTGACTCCTTTGACACGCATATCGTCACCATACTGTTGCAAAAAATTCTTACTGTCTCACAGTGCACGAGGTGAAAGTCGACTAAGAAATTTTTTAATCCATACAGCCTCCTCGATCACCAAACAACACGTCACATACTCTGCTTTCATGGTGGACAATTTCGTCACATTTTGTTTATTTAATTTTCAAGAAACTGTACCCTCTCTAAATATGAACACATATCCAGATGTAGACTTCGCGTCATCTGGATCTGTGAGATAGCTTGTACCTGTATATTTGAATATCCAAGCCGCTAAAAAAACATGGGGCTATAGCAGCTCCCACTCAATTATTGCACATACAACATATACATTATCAACATTCTTATGCATATATTATGAGGTAGCATATCAAGTCTCATGCAATATGTAATTCAATACCCGTTGGTTTCACAATATGCAAAAACCTTTATGACCCACAAAGGTTCAACCACACTAGACATCTTGGTAGTAAATTCATACAAACTAAGTTATCTAATCAACACAATATATGTCAGGGAAGCCCAACATGATGGCATTCCTACAACATTCCCTATAGTTCAAAGTTTTAGGTAATCGAGGATTCTAAATAACTAGAAACATGGGTCAAGGCATATAGGTATTTAAAAAAATAGTGCATGATAGTTTTTCTCCTACTTTTATAAATACCTTCAAGACATAATGTTTTTCATTTTAATAAAAACAACTGACTTGGTAAATATATATGCATTCACAAGCAATAGTTATATAATAGTATGATAGTTTAAAATGATTTTCATAAAAACTTAATGAACCTTGCAAGACTATGTGGTTTTCTCAAAACCATATTCATAGACTTAGGCTTTTATCAAAATATCTAATTTAATTATAAAATACATGCTTAACTTTCATAAATCATTTTACCGCATTCACCTTTAATTTCCTACCTAGTCAAGTTCATGGCCCTAAAAATAAATCATATATACCATCTTATAATTTTATCCAAAATAAAGCACGACTAAATAATGTTTATTAAAGCCTTGACAAACTACTTCTTTTTTGGCAATTACGGAGAATTTATCAAGAGATCATCATCACATACAACACATCATACTATAGACATTATTAAGAGGATGGTCACCAAGACCAAATTCCATCAGAACACTCTTTTTGTGCTTACATATTTGAATGAGCCACACCCTTCTCTCGTGTTCCATCTTTAGGGCTCAAAGCCCTTTA